TCTCACTGGCTCAGGGTTGACTCAGCCTTCCATCCTTCGGGGGGGGGAAAAAGAGGACCTGGGTTGTTGTTGGGGGCAATATGCTGACTCTGTAAACCGCTTAGAGAGGGCTGAAAGCCCTATGAAGCGGTATATAAGTCTAACTGCTATTGCTATTGCTAAGTACTATTGCTATTCTCCTCGGTTTCTGGCCAGATGCCTTAACCTGACTAAAATTGGATAGCATTTTAGATCAGAAATGGGCTTTATTTGACTGCAGCCAAAGCAGGTATTCAGATAATCAGAAACTGGTAATCAAGCTTACAAGTTTAGTTTTTTTACTGGAGGTTCAGTAATGTATGTTAAAGAAAACGCAGGCAATTTGATTCCATCTTACATGTGTTCAGTCGGTTCTCACCAAATTGGAAACTAGTTTTGACGTTGCAAGCTGCATTTGTAAATGTTTTATCCTTTTGACAGGTTGGAAATTACAAGCGGACAGTGAAGCGCATCGATGATGGATACAGACTTTGTGGCGATCTTATGAACTGTATTCATGAGCGTGCAAGAATAGAGAAGGTTTACGCTCAACAGTTAACCGAATGGGCAAAACGATGGAGGCAACTTGTAGAAAAAGGTAAACATGATCATACTTATGCATATGTTTTGGACCTCCAGACCTGTTTTATCAAACTGGGGGTATTTTAAATTTTAAAACAGTTTGTTTCCACTTTGGAACATTTCCAGAAAGGTTGAAAGACCACAAGAACACTTCCTTCTTAGATCAAAATGGCTAAATCTATGTTTTACAGACAAAGAAATAAAGGGAGGCTAATATAGATCTATTTCAAGCTATTTAGCTCTCATCAGCCAGCCCATACCCTTCTGGGATTTGAACCTGGGCTACTTGCATATTAGATAGATGTATTAACCTCTAAGCCACAGGCTCTCCTTCCTTTGTTGGCTATGCCAGGGGAAATACTTTTTGTCAGGACATCCTGGTGTTATGGGACGGAGCTTACTGCTTCCGCGGATGATTTTTTGTCTTGCTCCAATCAAACTGCTGCTGTTTTGTGTCAGTGTGGGTAGAGATTGAAGATTTGGGATGGTGGCATTTGACTGCCAGCCAGTGTTTGTGGATCCTGGTTTTTAGTTGACGTGATATATTTGTCCCACGTAGAATTGGTTGCAATGATTACAGTTGCTTTTGAGGATTAGATTGTTTCTTTCATCCATCTGTATCTTGTCTTTGGTTTTGGATAATTCCTGGTGGAGTGTGGCTGACTCTCTAGTGCAGTGATGGCACCGAGGGCCGGAAAGGGAGCGCATGCACATGTCGTGGCTGCGACCAGGAAGAGGAGCTGCCCAGGGGCCATGTGCACGCGGGAAAATGAACTTCCAGTTTCCGGCATGCACATGTGCACCAACCAGCTAGTCTTCTGGTTACTGGCGTGCATGCATGCGTGACAATCAGCTGGCCAGTGCATATGCTCACGCGGGAAAATGAACTTCCAGTTTCCGGCATGCACATGTGCACCAACCAGCTAGTCTTCTGGTTACTGGCGTGCATGCATGCGTGACAATCAGCTGGCCAGTGCATATGCTCACGCGGGAAAATGGAAGACCAGCTCTTCCAGTTTCCAGAACTGCCACATGCACGATGGCCAGCTGATCGTCACACGCACATGTACGCCAGAAACCCGGAAACAGAACGGGTGATGCCACACGTGCCAGTCAACATGCTCCACGTGCCAGTCAATATGCTCCACGTGCCACTTTGGGCACGTGTGCCATAGGTTAGCCATCACAGCTCTAGTGTTTTGCTTCTAATATGTCTGTGGCTTGTTCAACAAATCATAGTTAACATGTTCTGTGAACTGAACTACGTTTTGGTGTTGGGCCACTTCTGTCTAGTAAGTTCTCTATCTCTGTGAGATAGTCACCTTCAGCATATTGAGACTTCCATATTTTGCTGTCTGATCTAGCTCAGAATTTTATGATAAGCATAGTACTGTTGCAATACATCATCAGCCCAGTACATTGAGAAGACAAACTGGTCTTCTGAATCCTGCGTATGGTCATAATCTTTCTGGTTCACCAATCAATGCAAACAAAGCAGGTTACATATGGAAGCCAAAAGGAAATGGATTCAGATAAAGTTTCATCTAAGATACCTAAATTTGCAGAGCAATATCTCACTTTGAGATTAGGATATTTACAATTGGTCATAGTCTTTATATAATCTTTATGTAAAGGTAAAGGTTTCCCTCGCATATATGTGCTAGTCGTTCCCAACTCTAGGGGGCGGTGCTCATCTCCATTTCAAAGCTGAAGAGCCAGCGCTGTCCAAAGATATCTCCGTGGTCATGTGGCCGGCATGACTAAACGCTGAAGGCGCACGAAACGCTGTTACTTTCCCACCAAAGGTGGTTCCTATTTTTCTACTTGAATTTTTACGTGCTCTCGAACTGCTAGGTTGGCAGAAGCTGGGACAAGTAATGGGAGCTCACTCCGTTACATGGCGCTAGGGATTCGAACTGCCGAACTGCCGACCTTTCTGATCGACAAGCTCAGCATCTTAGCCACTAAGCCACTGTGTCCCTTTTTATCTTTATATAATCATGATATAATCATTACATAATGGTGCACATTGTGGCACTACTTCCTCACCCTGCTTCTGTCACAAGAACAAAACCCTTAAATCATTTGGTCATTCCCTTTCCTGTCCAACCTGAGGTAATTTGGGGATAGTAAGAACAGTAACATGTTTTTCTAGTGTGTGTGTGTGTGTATTTTGCAGATAGATCATTTTTTCCATTCCACTCAGGGCCACAGTATGGGACCGTTGAAAGAGCTTGGCATGCATTTATGTCTGAAGCGGAAAAAGTAAGCGAATTACACCTAGAAGTAAAAAGTGCTCTAATGAACGAGGATTTCGAAAAGATTAAGAACTGGCAGAAGGACTCCTTTCACAAGCAAATGATAGGTGGATTTAAGGAAACTAAGGAAGCGGAAGACGGGTTTAGGAAGGCTCAGAAACCATGGGCTAAAAAATTAAAAGAGGTGAGTAATCTAAAACTGTGTTTCCCCGTCACCTTAACCGTATCCTTGTTTTTCTGCTTTTTGGGTGGCCTGGGCTGCCTCCAAGTATGGTTTGTTTGCTTTCTACTCAAACAAGCGGGGCTGAACTGATTCCAGTGTAGAAGCTGTTGGTCTGCTTTTGGACAGGAACTATTTATTTAAAAAAATAGCGAAACATCTTCTTCCTCAAAAGAAACCAGTCCAGTTGCGTTTTGAAGAAAAACAAAAAGTACCTTTGAGAGCTGGATGACTGACAATCCCCGTAGACAAAATATGGCATCTTACCATACAACATATTAATAAAATCAGGATTAATACCTTGTTTTCCCGAAAATAAGACCTCCCCGGACAATAAGCCCAATTGGGCTTTTGAGCGCATGCGCTAAAATAAGCCCTCCCCCAAAATAAGCCCGCCCCTAAAATATTTAAACACATGCGCAGCCAGTCGCCGCCATTTCCTGGGAGTGGGAACATGTTCCACGCATCCCGCATGCACCTGCCATCCACGCGGAATGGCCTCACGGAGAGGCCACTCCGGCAAACCCTAGCTACTGTGCCCCTTCTCTTAGTGGCGGCTGCAAAAAGAGTAGCAGGCCCAGGGATGCTAGGGCTGGCAAGAGTGTGCCAGAAACAGAGACAGAACTTCTGGCCCTCTCTGGATCTGCTGATCCGCAGGTTGCAGGCCGAGGTTAAGGGCATCCTGCACCTCAAAAATAATAAGACCTCCCCGAAAATAAGGCCAAGCGCTTATTTGGGCAGGGGGGGGTTTCAAAGGAAAATAAGACCCTGTCTTATTTTTGGGAAAACACATTAAACCAAGGAAGCTTTGAATTTATATGTTAATATAAAGTCAGTAACACTACTTAGTTATTCTATAGAAATTTTTCCTCTACAGCAGGGGTGTCAAATGGCCCACAGGTTGCTTAGATCTGGCCTGTGGGGCCACCCTGAAAACAGTAAAGGACCCAGCCTGCAGTGCCTCTGCCAGTGAAAACAGAGCTCAGGAGAGCCGTCCCAAGCTCCGTTTTCACTGGCAGAGGGTTGCAAGAGGCCATCCCAGCCGAAAATAGAGCTTGGGAACCCGTTTTCTCTGGCAGCGCATTCGGGCTGCCAAAGGCCTCCTCGACACAAGTGATGTCAAGGTGGCCCACCTCAGCCCCCTGTGGTCAAACACAACCCTGATGCATCCCTCAATCAAATTGAGTTTTACACCCCTGCTCCACAGAGTCTTCTTTAAGATACCAGTATAGCAAATCTGGAGCGATGGGGAGACGGTCTTGCACAGGTTGCCTGAAAAGCTTTGTTCCCGAGTGAGAAGAAGTGATCCAAGTCAGACAGAGATTCTGTGACTTCTAAATTTCCTCATCATCAGCATCATTTTCTCGAGGCTATGACTTTAGGATCCACACATTCTAAAACACTGTAATTGTTTTCAAGATACATTTCCTATTAATTGTAATAATATTCATCTTCAAGCTTGCTATGGGTGGGTAGGTGGTGGTGGTGGGAATTGTGATTTTACATTTGTTAAAAGGCATCTTCCATAGGTGGAAGCTTCTAAGAAGGCACATCATACAGCGTGCAAGGAAGAAAAAATTGCCGTCTCCAGAGAGGCTAATAGCAAAGCGGACCCAGCGCTGAATCCAGAACAACTGAAAAAATTGCAGGACAAAATTGATAAAAGCAAACAGGATGTGCTTAAGGTAAATCGTATGAATTCTTGAAAACATCACAATCTTTGTGTCAGCATTCCAAGTATCATGCAGAATTAAATCAGAGTCCAAGGCAAAACTATCCTTAAAGTTCCAATTTAATAAGACAGACACGTTGGCAACCGTCTGTGGAATCCCAATTCTGGAAGTTACATCGGATTCCCACCCAGTTGAAAGTTCATGATCTTGTCCCAACACCCACAAATCCATCACATGGTCCAATCTTCTTCTTCCACACTGGCATCTCCACCCAGTTGGGTCCTGTCAGGTGCAGAGGTGCGGAGACAAAAGATGACCTTGGACTTCTAGAAAAGAATGACCACAACACATTCCACACATTCTACTCCTTTCTATTCCCCCCTCCCAACTACTACACTAATGAAACAGCATAATGAAATAAGAGAAAGTGTGGCAGGCCAAACATCCTAAAAGGGATGTAACTGCAGGCCTGACACTTTGCTTCTAATGAGAACTGTATGTTACTTCTGTCATGCTGAATCTGTAAGCCTTTTATAGTAAATGTGCCTCACCTTTGATTCATAAATAAAGATGTGAATGAATCCCAGGGAAAGAAAAAGGACCGTATGTTATTTATCTTAATGCTGTTGCATGTTCGGTTACCGTATATTTGATGGGTGTTTGCACAGTCATGTGAGAAGAGAGAGAGAGAGAACGGGAACAGTAGATGATTTAAACTGAACGGTATGAAGCATTAATTGTTGCAAACAGAATGCAAACTTGTTACCATTTGAAGATGCAGTGAAGTGTTATATACAGGTAGTCCTCGGCTTACAATCACAGTTTAGCCCCAAAATTTTGTTGCTAAGTGAAATATTTGTTGTGAATTATTGCCCCATTTTATGAACTTTCTTGCCACATTTGTTAAGTGAATCACTGCAGTTGAACAAGATCAAGAGGCAAAGTTAGTAGTGTTAGTAGCAATGAGAGTAGGAACCGAAGCAGGAGACAAGGATATAATGGAAAAAGAAAGCATCATGAATATGTTAAAGCATTCAGCTGTTCAGCTTTAAATGGGAGGAGTGTTAAGGTAGTGAAATTTAATAGCTAACCAGCTGCTGTAAGGCTGTAAACCGAGATGATGAAATGAGAATGAGTCAGTAGGGTTACTGCCACTTTAAGAAGCTGTCTATATAAGGGAGGCCATGTGAGGGCATCTCTCTCTCCTGTGTGCTTCCGTGTCATAGTTGAAGATTGATTGATCTTTCCTCTAGTGAGCACTGTTTAACTTCCAGGTAGTCCTCAGTTAACGACTGATTTTTCAGCAACCATTCAAAGTTATGACAGCCCAAACAAGCAGCGCTGAACAAGGGGTACTTACAACCTCGTTCTGGTGATCCCAACACCACCACAGTCATCTGATTGTGATTACAGCCACTTGGCAACTGGCTCACACAATGATTGTAGCAAGTCATATGACCATCAGTTGGCGCTTCCTTGTCGGTTTCACACAAGCAAAATCAATGGGGAAGCTGGCAGGAAAACTTACAAGATGCTCTCCTTATACGTTGCTCCCATCCCTGCCACTTTTTCCCCCAAGGAACCCAGCTACAGACTACGAGATCTGGACTCTTGTATCTATGGAGTGTGCATCTGCTTGCATTCCCTTGCCTGCACTCTGTAGTGAATGCCTGTACTCTATGTACATCGGTTATGACCCAGGCAAGACGGGCCTTTAGAGAGTCCTTTATTTCATCATCTTGGTTTACAAAACTTCAAGAAGTGTTCAACAAACGGTCCTCCAGCGACCAGTAAGGCTTCCCTGAAGGCAGCCACCCCCAAACAACAGCCCATATATTACCAGGAAAGTCCCCAAGCCAAAGTCCAGGCATAAAGCAAATAGCAATAGCGCTTAGACTTACGTACCGCTTTACAGCCCCCTCTAAGCGGTTTACAGAGTTGGCCTATTGTTCCCAACATTTTGGCTCCTCATTTTACCCACCTGGGAAAGGATGGAAGGCTGAGTCAACCTTGCGCCTAGTGAGATTTGAACTGCCAAATTGCAGTCAGCAGAAGTGGCCTGCAGTATTGCACTCTAACCCCAGGATACAAAGCAAAGGCAGTTCTGACGGTAAAGCAAAGGAAAGGGCAAAAGTTGGGGCAAAAGAAACGGCAGTCCTCAAAGCAAAGGCGAAAAGCAGGCCTCGAAGCAAGGGTCAAAGCCGGGGAAGTGTAATCCAAAACAAGCAATTGTTCCTGGCATAGAGTAACTCCCTATGGCTTCTCCTTAAGTCACTCCACTCTAGTTGTTCCTTATGAGGATGGGTGTGGCGACCTCCTCCTGAGTAGCCTTGCAGCCCTTCTCTCAGCTTGCCTAAGCTCTGCTCTCTGTGCCCTTGGATCAAGTGGAGGAGGCAGCTGTTCCTCATCAGAGGGGATCTGCTGCCTCTCTGCACCACTGCCTGTCAGCAGCCGATCTTCCCCTGGGTCTCTGGAGGCAGGCAGCTCGACCATCTCTCCCAATGCCTGAGGAGCCTGAGCAGTGGTGGGTTTCAAAAATTTTTGGAACCTACTCTGTGGGTGTGGCCTCCTTTGTGGGAGTGGCTTGCCGGCCATGTGACCTGGTGGGAGTGGCTTGCCGGTCATGTATTTTCTTTCTTTCTCTTTCTCTTTCTCTCTCTCTCTCTCTCTCTCTCTCTCTCTTTCCTTCCTTTTGTCTCTGTCCCTTTTTTTCTTTCATCTCTCTCTCTCACTCTTTTTCTTTCTTTTTTCTTTCTTTCTTTCTTTCTTTCTTTCTTTCTTTCTTTCTTTNGGCCTTCTAAAGAGCAACTCGAAGTGCTCTTTAGGAGGCCAGATCCTGAAGAGGAAACTCCAAGACTTTGGCCACCTAATGAGAAGGAAGGACTCTCTGGAGAAGAGCCTAATGCTGGGAAAGATTGACGGCAAAAGAAGAAGGGGATGATAGAGAATGAGGGGGCTGGATGGAGTCACTGAAGCAGTAGATGTGAGCTTAAATGGACTCCAGAGGATGGTAGAGGACAGGAAGGCCTGGAGGAACATTATCCATGGGGTCACCATGGGTCGGACACGATTTCACAACTAACAACAACAACAGAGCTGTTTGGTTTAAATCCCCAACTGGAGATTTCCTGCTTCCTGGTTCTAAGCCTATTAGGAAGTTTAAAAATTGGAAAAATGGGATTTGTGGCTTTATTTCAAGGTCAGCAAGGTTTAGTGCTTCTAACTCTAAGCAGATTTCCTTTTGATGAATGAGACTTTGCTAGTTCCTGACCCAGTGCATTGTTACAGACTCATGTTACTCAACTTACAGAACTTTAAGAGTTGTGGACTTCAACTCTCACAAATTCCCATGCTGGCTGAGGAATTCTGGGAGTTGAAGTCCACCTCGCTTCACGTTCCCAAGTATGAGAAACACTGTGGTAGACCAAAATAATAATAATAATTTAAAGATTGACACAGAAGAAGTGATTTCTTCTTCTTTACACCAATCAGATAGCTCAAGGTGCCATCATTTCTGTTGAAATAGAGCTGTAAGTCTCCATAAGAACTGGTTAGACTCACCTATTTAAAATAGCCTGAAAAATTGAAAAGAAGAAATGAATGGAAACTGATCAAGTTTTTAAAATATTTAAATTGCAAAAACTCAAAATATCATGGAAACCACTTCCTCCCTCCCTCTCTCTCTCTCCCCCCTTCTCCCTCCCTTCTCTCTCTCCCTCCTTCTCTCTCTCTCTCTCCTTCACTCGCTCCCTCCCTCACTCTCCCTCCTTCTCTCTCTCTCCCTCCTTCTCTCTCTCCCTTCTCTCTCTCCCTCCTTCTCTCTCTCTCCCTCCCTCTCTCTCTCCCTCCCTCACTCTCCCTCCTTCTCTCTCTCTCCCTCCTTCTCTCTCTCCCTTCTCTCTCTCTCTCCTTCTCTCTCTCTCTCTCCTTCACTCGCTCCCTCCCTCACTCTCCCTCCTTCTCTCTCTCTCCCTCCTTCTCTCTCTCCCTT